GATGATTTATAGTCGAATGTTCGTCCACAACCGGGCACTTTGCATTTATAGATGAAGGGCTGACCGTGTGTTTTCCTATGTGTTACATATTCGTTGTAACTTTTTGCGATCACAGCACACCCGGGATAGTAGCTTCGTTCGCCTAAAAAATTACTGTGTTATTTGTTTTTGCAATTTATATTTTATTATAGTGTTTGGCAACTAATTAAGTAATCTGATACAACTAATTAAGTGAACTACTAAAAAATTACTTCCATAAAATAATCCTAGCACATTCCATTTCAAATTATTTAGATCACAAGAAGTTGCTTAGTTACAACAAAAAGTGTAATTGAGAATTTCTCCTTGTATTGTCACTGAGTGGTAACAAATAACACATTTCACATGCATTCTTTTTTCAGTCTGACATATCTGTTTATCTGTTTAAAATTCTGCTAAATTTGCAAACTAACAAGACTTTGTTTGGCAACGCCTTTTGTGATTTTGTAGTCCACTCTTGCAGGTGAAGAATTTGTTACAGTACTCGCACTGAGGATGAGGTTCATGCGTTTGCTTGTGATTGCAAAATGATGCTTTGTGGTCAAATGTCCGCCCACAACCGGGCACTCTACATTCATAGGTGAAGGGTTGATGCGTTTTCCTATGTGTTACATATTCGTTGTAATTTTTCGTGACCATAGTGCATCCGGGATAGAGACATTCATAATTTTCCTCACCTAAAAAAATGGAATTTGTTTTTGCAACTAACATTCTATTGTATGATTTGGTAGCTAATTAAGTAGTATAAGGAATAATCATGAAAATATCAATAATACCATAAATATATAAAAAACTTTATCATATCACACTTGACTAGTTGTAATAATCTACGTGAGTTTACCTATTACAGTATAAGAATTGTGGTAGTACATTTGCAGACATGGCTTCTTGTACTCTACGTTATGCTTTGCTCTGAAGCGTTTGCTTACCTGGTGTGACTCTAACTTATTTTAAAGCCGAGCTTACCTCCTCAATTTAACTATTTCAACACATTCAAAATCAGAGTCCACTTTTACTTCAAGTTGCTTGTGAATATGCTTATTTACATTATTAGCAAACCTGCCTCTAATTAGGACATCCTCCCTGATGTCACAGAAAGAAATATAGTATTATTTGAATTAAGGTGGAATTTTACATCATTTTTGCAATCTTTCAGATATATATCCCTCCGAAAATCTGGTATTTTACTCTGTATAGCCCTTTTAGGATTTATTCGACAGAATTCTCAAAAAAAAATATGTCTATTTCTTTAGGTACACTTGATGGAATTATGATATCGTCATTAATTCTGTTTTCTTTTAGAGAAAAAAGTTCAATGTATGTCCTTTTTTTACTGTGTTTTTCAAAGTATTTAGGGAGATACATATTAAGATACTCAGAATGTAGTTCTATACGATTTTTTTACTTATATTCTGGATTAAATATATATTTATTGCCATTTTGCTTAAGTTTACATGTTTTAAATTTACCGAGTTCAGTATTGAAATTTCCTGGTTCAATCTCAAAAGCAAGTGCCATCGCCAATTGTTGTGTCCTCGCATTTGGTAAACGGACCGATTTTAGCACCAGGTCCTATTCTTACTCCAGGGTTCGTATGGTATTGGGGTTTCAAGGCTCGTTGGTGCAATAATAGAAGCTTTCCATGATGATAAAGGAATTACCTGGCCAGAAGCAGTGGCTCCTTTCAGGGTTGGGTTAATCAACTTACAGACAAAAACGGCTGAATATGTAGAGATTGAAAATAAAATATACAGTACTTTAAAAAGTGACGAAGTGTTTCATAATGATACAGAAGGAAGTATAGGAGTAAAATTTGCTAAGATGGACCTCATAGGCTTGCCATGGTAAATAATTGTTGGGAAGAAAGCAGTAAGTGAAAATATAATTGAAATAAAAATTAGAGCAACTGGAAAGGTAGAGGAAGTGCAGATTGAAGAAGCAATAAACTACTTTAACGTAAAATGATACGTGGTATCGGTACTGACATAGTATTTATACCAAGAATGCTAAGAATATTACAAAAATATGGGAAAAAATTCCTCAATAAAATCTATACCGAGCAGAAATAGAGATAAGCAGAAAATACAACAGCCAAGAAATGCAAGCAAAGTATCTTGCTAAACGCTTTGCAGCAAAGGAAGCCTTTGTTAAGGCGCTAGGTGGATTCAGCCATGGCATTATAATGAAAGATATAGAAATATACAATGACGTAAGAGGAAAGCCGCATCTTACTGTTAGCAAGAATTTCATCTTCAAAGACCACATGATTCATCTTTCTCTCAGTGACGATTTTTAATCTGAATTTAATCAATTTCCCTTCTCTAATATTAAAAAAAAACTTAGTTATTAAAGTTTATTTTCTTATTTATGTTGTCAATTGACCACACCGTAAGTGACATAGGTACGTATGCAACGCATAAAATTAATCAACTGAGTTCAAAATAACTAATTTTTTTTAAGCAATTGATATTTTTTAATAGTTTTAACATTTAATTAAAATCAAAATTGATAAAACTGGAGATTTTTCTCCCTTTAATATACAAAAGCTCTTGCAAATTATAAAATTTTCACCAAAATCAATTTTTAGATTTGAAATAATGCTTAAGCCTAAGCCTAAATATACCCTAAGCCTAAGCCTAAGCATTATTTTATTATTTAAGATGTCAAATGACAACAATGTATGTGACCAGTTCCCGCACTATGCGTATACAATAATCAATTTTTTTTTATTAAATGATTTTTTTTAATACTTTTAATATATTTGAAATTAAATTTTGAGAATTGTAGGACTTCTTACCCAGTTTAGTATGCAAAACACCCGTACAAATTATGAGATTTTTGTAAATGTATTAATTAAATTTGAAATATAAATTAATTTTAATTGTAAGAATGAATTAAAATCGTGAAAAATTAAAAATTTAATTAATTCCGCTAATAAAATATTGATTGAAACTTAATTCCTAAAGTTTATTTTATTATTTTTGCTGGTCAATTAACCATGGTGTGTGTGACCAGTATCCATGCAATGCATATAAATTAATCAATTAAGCTCAAAATATCTCTTTGTTTTAAGGAATTGAAATTTTTCAATATTTTGTCATTTAACTAAAATAAATTTTTGGTATTATTAGAATTTATTTTATAGTTTAACATGCAAAATTCTAATAAATTATTGTTTTTTCATAAAATTTTAATTTCAAATAAAAATTAATTCCAATTGCAAGAATGAATTAAAACCGTTACAAATTAAAAATATAATTAATTTTGCCTATCAAATATTAATTTAAGCTTAATTATTAAAGTTTATTTTATTATTTATGTTGCCAATTGACCACACCATAAATGACCAGTACCCATGCAACGCTTATAAATTAATCAATTAAGCTCAAAATATCTAATTTTCTTTACGAATTGATATTTTTTAATAGTTTTAACACTTTAATTAAATTGAAATTTGACAACACCGGCATTTATTTCATAGTTTAATATGCAAAAACTTTTACAAATTGCACAATTTTCTTAAATTATGGTATTTAAATTTGGAAAATAAATTAATTACAATTGTAAGAATGAAATAAAACCGTGACAAACAAAGAATTTAATTAATTTTGCTAATAAAATATTGATTAAAAGTTATTTTTTAAAGTTTTTTTTTTAATATTTTATGCTGACCAATTGACTACACCGCGATTGACCAGTACCTATGCAACGCTTATAAATTAATCAATCAAGTTCAAATTATCTAATTTTTTTGATGATTTGATTTTTTTAATATTTTAACATTTAATTAAAATGAGTTTTTGATATTGCCAGAATTTATTTTATAGTTTAACATGCAAAATTCTAATAAATTATTGTTCTTTCATAAAATTTAAATTTGAAATAAAAATTAATTTGATTTGTAAGAATGAATTAAAACCGTTACAAATTAAAAATATAATTAATTTTGCTAATAAAATATTGATTAAAACTTAATTATTAAAGCTTATTTTATTATTTATGTTGCCAATTGACCACACCGTAACTGACCGTTACCCATGCAATGTATAAATTTAATCAATTGAGTTCAAAATAACTAATTTTCTTTATGAATCGATATTTTTAAATTTTTTAACATTTAATTAAATTAAATTTTGACAAATCCGTGATTTATTTCATATTCCTAATAATTGCAGGATTTTCACAAAAATCGATATCTAAATTTGAAATCAAAATCAATTTTAATTGTTAGAATGAACTAGAACAGTGAAAAATAAAGAATTTAATTATTTTTGCTACTGAAATGTCGTTCAGAATTTAATTATTAAAGTTTGTTTAATTATTTGTACTGATCAAATGAGCAACCGTAAGTGACCAGTTCCTATGCAATGCATAAAAATCAATCAATTAAGTTCAAATTATCAAATTTTTTTAATGATTTGATTTTTTTTTAATATTTTAACATATAATTAAAATGAGTTTTTGATATTGCCAGAATTTATTTTATAGTTTAACATGCAAAATTCTAATAAATTATTGTTTTTTCATAAAATTTGATATTTATATTTGAAATAAAAATTAATTTTGATTGTAAGAATGAATTAAAATCGTGAAAAATTAAAAATTTAATTAATTTTGCTAATAAAATATTGATGAAAACTTAATTTCTGAAGTTTATTTTATTATTTTTGCTGGTCAAATGACCACGATGTTGTGACCAGTATCTATGCAACGCTTATAAATTGGTCAATTAAGTTCAAATTATCCAATTTTTATCAAATGACCAACCGTAAATGACCAGTATCCATGAAATGAATAAAAAATAATCAATTAAGTTCCATTTATCTAATTTTTTTTTTTATGAATTGATATTTTTCAATATTCTAACATTTAATTAAATTAAATTTTGACAATTCCGGCATTAATTTTATAGTTTAATATACAAAACCCTGATAAATTATTGAATTTTCATAAAATTTGATATTTAGATTTGAAATAAAAATTAATTTCAATTGTAAGAATGAATTAAAACCGTGATAAAATAAAAATTTAATTAATTTTGCTAATCAAATATTGATTAAAACTTAATTTTTAAAGTTTATTTTATTATTCACGCTGATCAATTCACCAACTGTAAATGACCAGTACCCATGCAATGCATATAAATTAATCAGTTAAGCTCAAAACATCTAACTTTTTTTAATGAATTGATATTTTTCAATATTTTAACATTTAATTAAAATCAAAATTGATAAGACTAGAAATTATTTCTTCGTTTAATATACAAAAACTCTTGGAAATTATAAAATTTTCAGCACAATCAATTTTTAGATTTGAAAAAATGCTTAAGCCTAAGCCTAAGTACACCCTAAGCCTAAGCCTAAGCATTATTTTATTATTTAAGGTGTCAAATGACCACAATGTATGTGACAGTTCCCGCACTATGCGTATACAATAATCAATTTTTTTTTATTAAATGATTTTTTTTTAATACTTTTAACATCATTTGAAATTAAATTTTGATAATAGTAGGACTTCTTACCTAATTTAGTATGCAAATACCCGTACAAATTATGGGATTTTTATAAATGTATTATTTAAATTTGAAATATAAATTAATTTTAATTGTAAGAATGAATTAAAATCGTGAAAAATTAAAAATTTAATTAATTTCTAAAGTTGATTTTATTATTTTTGCTGGTCAAATGACCACAATGTATGTGACCAGTACCTATGCAATGCACACAAATTAATCAATTAAGTTCAAATTATCTAATTTTTTAAATGATTCGATTTTTTTAAATATTCCAACATTTAATTAAAATGATTCTTTGATATTGCTGGAATTTATTTTATAGTTTAATATACAAAATCCTAACAAATTATTGAATTTTCATAAAATTTGAAATTTAAATTTGAAATAAGAATTGATTTGAATTGTAAGAATGAATCAAAACCGTGATTAATTAAAAATGTAATTAATTTTGCCTATCAAATATTAATTAAAACTTAATTATTAAGGTTTATTTTATTATTAATGTTGGTCAAATGACCACACCGTGAATAACTAGTACTATGGAACGCTTATAAATTAATCAGTTAAGCTCAAATTATCTATTTTTTTTTTTCTAAACAATTGATATTTATATTATTTTAACATTTAATTAAAAGAAATTTTGACAATACAGGGATTCATCTTACTGTTTAATATACAAAACTCTAATAAATCATTAAATTTTCACAGAATTTGATATTTAAATTTGAAATAAAAATTAATTTGAATTGTAAGAATGAATTAAAACCGTGATAAATTAAAAATTTAATCAATTCCGCTAGTCAAATATTGATTGAAACTTAATTTTTAAAGTTTATTTAGTTATTTATGCTGATCAAATGAGCAACCGTAAATGACCAGTACTTATGCAATGCATATAAATTGATCAATTAAGCTCGAAATATCTAACTTTTTTTAATAAATATATATTTTTCAACAGTTTTAACATTTAATTAAAGTAAAATTTGATATTACTAGAAATTATTTCGTAGTCTAATATACAAAAAAGGCTTTGATTCATTGCAAATCATAAAATTTTCATAAAATTCGATCTTAAAATTTCAAACAAAAACTAATTTTAGCTGCAGAAATGAATTAAATCTACGACAAATTAAAAATCTTATTAATTTCACCTCTCGAATATTAAAAAAAAAACTTAGTTATTAAAGTTTATTTTCTTATTACGTATGCAACGCATAAAATTAAATAACTGAATTCAAAATAACTAATTTTTTTTAAGGTATTGATATTTTTTAATAGTTTTAGCATTTAATTAAAATCAAAATTGAAAAAAACTAGAGATTTCTTCTCCCTTTAATATACAAAAGCTCTTGCAAATTATAAAATTTTCACCAAAATCAATTTTTAGATTTGAAATAATGCTTAAGCCTAAGCCTAAATATACCCTAAGCCTAAGCCTAAGCATTATTTCATTATTTAAGATGTCAAATGACAACAATGTATGTGACCAGTTCCCGCACTATGCGTATACAATAATCAATTTTTTTTTATTAAATGATTTTTTTTAGTACT